AGGGGAGAAGCACAGACACAGGGTGGCCCAGCTCTCCCCTTGGAGATACGGCCCCCCCCCCCCTCCCGCCTGCCTCGGTTTCCCCATCTGTAGAACGGATGTTACAACCCACTTCCAAAGACGAAAGCTCCCATTGCCGCCGTGTGGGCACCCCCCCGGCGTGAAGCAGGCTCCCCTCTCCCAGCACCTACTCACTGGTTCAGGCAGGGCGTGTAGGAGTTCTTGTCCTCCTCGATAATGGAGACTATCAGGGTGATGAGCTTGGACCAGAAGTCCAGGTTTTTGATGCTGGGGCCCTGCTCTTCAGGGGGCACCTCGCCTTTCTTAGTCTGCAGTGATGGGGACACAGTGGAGGCACCGGTTGTGTGGGGCTCAGTTTCATGGTGGGGCTGACAAGGAGGGCTCGGGAACACCCGCGGGCCCCCATGCAGCCCGCCCTTGTCTGGCCCCGGGCTCAAACCCGCCACAGTGGGGCTCAAACCCTCCCCAAGGGTCAGGGCTCATTCTGCACAGAGCTGAAAGCTCTGGAGACGGAGCAGGACCATCGCACCAAGGAGATGGGCAGGGGATGGGGAAGGTTGGGGTGGGCAGCAAGGTCCCTCTGCAGCCCCCAGCGCATCCCAGTGCGTCCCAGCTCCCCCAGCCCCACGCACCGGGTCTGTCTGGTACTCGCGGCTGTAGAGCTCGTGGCAGTTGTTGAAGATGTACTCGTAGGTGGAGTTGAGGCAGGCTTTCACGCAGTCCTTCACCACCTGGCTGGCACGGGGGGGGCTCTGCAGCTCCTGGACCTGCACGTGAGGGGAGGGAGCGGGGCTGGAGGCAGACCCACGGGGCCAGCACGACCCCAGCCTTGCAAAGAACCAGGGCCAGCGAGGGTCAGGCTCCATGCCAGAGGGACAGGGCAAGCAGGGCTCCAGCAATACCTTCATCCGAAAGAAGGTGATGCTGGTCAGCAAATCCACTGTGGACTTGAGATCCTGGAGCCGTTCAGGACTGCTGGCAGGGAAGTTGTTCTGCCAAAGGGGGAGAAAAAGAGCGGAGCTGCACAGAAAACTCTCTCACAGGGGCGAGTGGAGGGGGAGAAAACAGACATCTGTTTATAGAATCATAGGATCATTCAGGTTGGAAAAGACCTCTAAGATCATCAGGTCCAACCATCAGCCCATCCCCATGCCTGCTAAACCATGTCCCCAGGTGCCACGGCTACACGTGATTTCAGACCTTATCAGACGGGTGGGGAAACCGAGGCGCAGGCGCCTTACCCGGTACATGGAGAGGTCGATCCGCAGTGAGTTGTGCAGCTGGTCAAGGAGCTTGACAAACCGCTCCTTCTGCGGAGAAACGCCCCGGAGACAGGTAAGCAGGGGAAAGGCGGCGGGGACCGTCCCCCCTCCCTGCTGCCCCTGGCTCTCTCTGCCCCCAGCCTGGCCCGCACCACCCCCGGCTCATCCCTCTCCTCCCTGCTGTCCTTCCTTCCCCAGAGCCCTGCGGGTGGGCATGGGAGGCCCGCGGAGAAGAGCGTGTCCTCACTGGTGGCTGGGGCTC